CAAAAAACAAGAAACAGCGAAAATGTCGAAAAATGATTTGAAAAAAATCAATGAGAAAATCAATTCACAAATCGAGGCAGATTCGAAAAATAATCCGAGTTTCTGGGATGATTTCGATAAAGATCCAGACAAATATAAACAACCAACCGGGTTTAAGACGAAAGCTAAAAAATATTTCAAAAGGTTATGGCCTTTTTCGAACGGGAATAGTGAAGAACAACTGAAAAGAGAAGAACTGATCCGATCGGAAGCTCGTCGACAGTATGAAAATATCCGAAAAAATCGATTAGAATTGGACAAAATATCAACAGGGCAGGAAAGTTCGATTGAAGAAATAAAGGACGATCCAATTTTGGCAAAAATGATCCCGACTTTGAATCAAGAACATCTCGATGTTTATCGTGAAACAATAAAAAATACAGACTTTCCTGAATCCGGAAATGAGGATCAGCTGAAAGAATGGTCGAAAAACTTTATAGACACAAGGAATAAATTTCGAAATGAATTTGACAAAAAGTTTGAAATGACANTGGGAGGGACTACAATTGAAGAATCTGATAAAGGATCAAGAAAAAATGGGAATTGGTTAAGAAGCTCAACGCATGGATCGAAAAAAACAGAAGATGAACCAACGAAGATCCTAAGAAGTGATTCATACAAAGATAAAAAGGCACAAACACCGGCCAGCATGATAAGGACAGAATCAACATCGAAACCAGCCGAAAGTAAAACTACCGAAATTCTATCAAGTGATTCGTCCCAAGTTGAAAAGCCATCAAATCTCAGCTTAATAGACGAACAACAATTAGAAGAACAACGAAGAATAATGGATAAAAAATTGGAAGAACAAAAAAGAATATATGAAGAAAAATTGGAAGAAAAACAAAGATATGCCAAAGAACGATTAGACGAACAACAGAGATTATCTGAAGAAAAAATAGCAGAACAACAAAGAATAATGGAAGAAATGGCTATTGAAAAAAGAAAAGCTGATGATCGAATAGCCGAACTTAAGACAAAATTTTTTGACCAAGTACGAAGAAACAATTCGTTGATAAGAAAATTAGAAAAATTTCCAACCACCACCGATGGATATTCGCTAATAGCAAAGAAAGCATACGAAGATGGAATTAGATATCAATACTATGATCTTTTGGATGAAAAGCAAAATCTTGTGAATACATGGGATATTAAAGAAAGAGGCTATATAAATAAATTGAATCAATTGGAAAAACAATCAAAAAAAAATAATGAGGCAAATAGTGAGTATGAAGCTCTCAAATTCGAATATAAAGAAAATCAAAATGCATTTGACAAACAACTGAGGGAATTAGATGGAAAAATAGAAAAAGCATACGACGAAATGGAAATTGATATTGTCAACAAAGAGACAAGAATTTGTGATCAAATTATGCAATTTGGAGGAACCAGAAATAACACGGAAAAAGCGATTATAAATGAAATTAAGAATTCTGGTTTTGGAGAAAAGTTTAAAAAATTTTTCAGATCAAAAGAGAAAAAAGTAAATCAATCCGACTTATATTCATTAGAATATCGTATTAGACCAATATTAACCAATGAAGAAATGGACGTTATAAAACAAGCGATCGATGAAAGTTCGGTAAAAAAAGTATACAGAACTTCAGTTCTTCAAAAAATGTTGGATCTCCAGAATCAGGCTCAGAATGATTTATCCAAAACAAAAGAGGCAATACTATTTAGAGATGATTATGTCAAACCTTTAATGGGTGAATTGTTGCGAGAAAATAATCGAACCATTAAAAGTGATATTAGAGCAATCCTGACTGATCAGGAAAAAAATTATTTACAAAAAATGATTGTTACCTCAGAATCAGAAAATAAACAATATCGAGAATATATACTTAACGAAATTGAAGAAATCGAGCGATCTATACCTATTACAGAAAACGACCTTAATACTTTAAGAGGATTCATTGAAATATTTAAAAAAAGATTAGATGATGAAGAAAATAAGTTTGAATATCCTTTATCTAAATTTAGGCGTAAGTTAGTAGAAGGTCCAAATCCGGTTATAAGTGCAGAACAAGAAGATTTTCTTTACTATGAAGCTATGATTAAACCAAGAATATACGATAAACCAGTCGATTATTATGTTTGGTATTTCAAAGAGCTTTATACAACTAAGGGTAAATATTTTTATGATACTGCACATTGTCGGTTTGCCACGATAAATACAAAAGAGAACAATTTGTTATTGAAAAATTTACTTTCGGAAGCAATATCTCAGTCAGCAGCACGCAATAGAAAAAGAAGATCAATTTCTAATCCAGTACCAGCCATATCAATGAATATTGCAGAAAATACGGCTGAACAATCCTATCAACAACGATCAATGCATGATAGTCATTCAACATCACAATCATCCAGTACGGATTCGTTTAGAAAACGAATGCAAAGATCAGTGAATCAAATACTTTTACAAACAGCAGCACAAATGTCTGAACATCAATTTACTGATTATAGTCAACAATTTTAAATGAAAATTATTTTTTTAAAATTTTATTTTCATTGATATTTAAAAAAAAAAATTACTCAAAAAATTTTCTTTTACAAAACACTTTTAAAAAATGTTTTTTTTTGTGAAAAGAATTCAATAACAAAACAAAAAAACTATTCAAAACAAATCGATAGAATGAAAAAAAAATGTTTGAATCATCGATAAACAATAATGAAAACGAAAACATTAAAATCAGAATCAGGAAAAATTAAAAATTTGAAGAAGAAAAAAAAATATATTGCCATTAGAGTTTGTTTATTAGTAATCAATATAGAGTTTACTTTTGACGATAATTTTCTTTCAAAATTACAATTCAAACAACGTTCTTTTTTATAGAACATATATTAACTATAGGCGCTATCAATCAATTGGTCGAATTGAACTAAATTTTAATAGTTTTTAACAGATTCTCATCTAGCAACACATATATATTCAATGTTTTATCGCTTTAATTTGAGCCCGTTGTTGATTGTTGAATTGATTGTTACATTGTTGAAAAAAATTCCATAAGCTGTGGTTTAAGATTTTTTTTTTTTTTTTTTTTGATCTCAATCGCTAATAGCAAACGATTACGATTATAAATTAAATGTTCGATAGAAGAAAAAAATTCAATTGTTGAAAGCTCGAAATAGAATTCAATAACAATAGTGAAATGAAAAACATATAAAATCGGAGTCAGAAAAAAAATGTTTATTTTATTTTTTGTGATTTTGGTGAATGAGAATATATGAATACTATTATGTTTATGAAGAATACTATTTTATTTTGCTATTTCATTCAACTGATTGTCGCTAATAATGTTCATGATAAAAAATCACTTGATAGTAATATGATACCATATAAAACAGTATATGGTATACCAAAAAGGTGTAAAGGGAAATATGATATTGAAACGACCGACGACAAATATCGAATTTGTCAAATAAATGCCATTGAGAAATGGCAAATAACATTTAAAGATTATGTAAGTTGATTCAATAATTATTCCTCAAGTCAAATCATAATGTTTTTTTTTCTTAAACACAGTACACAGAAAGTTGGAATTTCTGCTGTTTCGTATATGATGTCCTAAAATGCGAAACCAAAGTGTTGTATGAATGTGATCCAGACTATTCCGACCGCAATGACAAAGAAACAAGACGATTGTTTGATAAATCATGTCAACCAATCATGGCAAACAATCCTTGTAGCAAGAGTGAGGGTGGAGGTGGTGACTGGATATGGAAAGGATTAGCAATTGGTGCAGGAGTCGGAGCATTCTTGTATATGTTATACGACTGTATTCAATTTTGGAGAAAGGAGTATAACACAGAATTAATGGCAAAAAAAGCTTACAAAGCAGAAAAATTTCAACAAAAATATGAAAAGGAATTCATTCGTGCGGTTTATGACCATGAAGTTGAATTTCAAGATAAACAATATATCACGAATGCTCCTAAACAAACAAGTGAGAATGGAGAAGCACAAC